ATAACCGGCTGAACTAATTAAGTGTCTCCATTACCTGTGGAAAGTAGGCATTTCCTTCCCAGCCTACGTTTATTTTCAGATCTATCTATGTTTGCCATCCTTCGCAATTCCTGCAGTTACTTCTAGGCTGCAATTTTGTTTGGGCATCTATTCTTTCAGTGAACAGACCAGCTTTCTATTTATTGAAATTCATCTTGGCATGGTGAAGATTAAAGCACAGAATTGGTTAGAGACGAAAGCTTTGTAAGCATAAAGTACAATCTGTCTTTCATTTACATTTCAGACCTTACTTCACCCTATATTTGATAACATTCACCCTACAAACTCTATCTTCACAAAATATTCAGGAACTAGATTTAGATGCAAATGTACAATCACTTTCTGCCTGGCTATGAAGATATCTCAGATCTCAGTCCCCTGAACTGGCACTGTTATAGCAGCTTCGGTGTCCCAGTTTCTACTATGGGGCATGCAGCTGCTCTACCAGAGATAAGTACATGTTTGTTGGTATACTAAGACTCCTTTTAATTATGATTTTGAGTGTTTTCTGATCACCATCTAAGAACATCACAATTAGGACATGTCATCTGATTACAACGCTCAAGCAGGAAAAGGGAAACCCAAATTCCAACCTTTTCGGCAGGTGAAAGCATGTAAAAGTACAATTTCCAGCTCTCAGAAGCACTGAAGTGTAGGCTCTTCCTTACCTCTTCTTCGCAGCCTTTTCTCCTTAATGCCCATCTGAGAGGGGAACTTCCTGTTTCGGCGAGAACACTTTAAATGCTTCTGGCTGCCTGTGAATGTTGAATTTTTCTCTGCTGGGTGGAATACTTCCTCTCTGATACACGCTGTGAGAAACCTGCTGTGGAGTAGACTTCTCGCTCCTCAGGAGAGATCACGGCTGGGAGCCCAAGGCAGAGACAAGCACCACATTCTCCCTCATCATTCCTTTTTGGGGCTAATGCGAATCCCAGTTTTAGTTATTATCCCAGTTATTTAGTTATTGCAAATTCTCATGCTTGCAATAACAAGTCCAGATACTAAACTAGGGGCTGGTGATTCCCTTGGGTTGCAGACCTTTAAAAGTGGTTGCTGCACAAACAAACACTTATGTGTTCAAAAGGTGACACAGTAATACCGTTGTGTTGTCCTGACCTGACTAAGGAAATAGAAGTTTTCAGCACATAGGACAGTGTGTGACAGACTATAACCGGATCCTAGATGAAAGATTAAATGTAAACAAAGTTGAAGGAGGAGGGGAGGAAAGGGTTAACCAACTGCAAAAGGCTGTAACAAAAAGTCATCCAACCAACTTGTATAAGAAAATATTTCATTGACAAGAACATCTCATTTCTGAAAGGGAATAATTGTTTGAAGAAATTTAGCCACCTCTAAGAGTAACACCATCTTTAGACAGTGCTATGCTGCCTGATTAACTGCTGCTTGCACAGTGCTTTGAGATCTTTGGCTAACAAGGAAGGCACGTTGCTATGTGAAAATGTTAGAACTAATAATTTAGACAATGTAGGAGCACAAAGCCAGGTTACTCTTATCATTTCATCAAAGCCAGGTTTAACGATCTTCTTTTTTGGTTACTTGCTTAATTAGATAAGCAGCTGAATTTAATTAACTTATTAAGCGTAATTTGAAAAGATCTCTCAAGTCAGTAAGAGCTTGTGTTATGCTTATTATTCCTATTTGTTGCATCAGGTCTTTAATATCACCATTTTGTTAGTGTATTAACAGTAGCCTTAATTGTGTTCTAATTTATTGCATTTATTCAGAGGGTGCCATTTTCTTCATTTTTTATGTGCCAGCCTGTGAAAATCAATCACAGTTTAATTTAAGGCAGTGAAATTGCTCTTGCAGCTTTCCTTCAAGTCAGCTACGTACCATCCCCTTTTCCCATAAGTATAATTTGGGTTTGTAAGGTGGGAGGATTTTTTTCAAGGTGAAATTATTTCATAGGAACTCATGTTGAGTTTCTGAGGTCACATTTCCTAGAGAAGTACTATGATAGAAATTATTCTCTGGGACTGGTTCTTCTTTTGGGACTGGTTAATCAAACTGTTAGGTAATAAAGTTTAAACTGAAATTGGTATTACAACTCTATAATTCATTCGAACCCATCTGGATACCATGCCACAGTTTGATGGGACTCTCTGTAACTCCTTGAAAGTTCCTGAAGAAAGAGTTAGAGTTACTAAGAAAGAATCTAAACTGTAAAGCTTACTGTAAATTTAAACCTGTTTGACCTCTGTTTGACCATCTTTTCATATTCCTAGAAGATGCATCACACAGTGAAGGAAAGATGAGGTGACTGCTTAAAATATCGTATTTCAAAATTTCTTTGTAAAATATCTTACAAAACTTATTGTTCTGTAAAGTATATTTTATTGCCCTGTAAAACATGTTGCTGATAGGAAAACTGCTAATTAAGTTCTGGGAGAAGTTCATGTATACCTGTGAAAAGTGAGCTATAACCTAGTTGGAACAGGTACTTTCTTACTATTCCAGCCAGGAGGTTTTGCAGAGGCAACCTTGCTCACAGTAGCTCTCTTGCTTTTTTGATTGCATTTTTGTTTGTTTGAGGCATGCTCTTGCATGCATAATCAAATAGCGTGTGTGTCTCTGTTTTCCCCTAGAATGACTATAGGAAGCTATCTATGCAATGCAAGGACTTTGTTGTGGGTGTGCTGGACCTGTGCAGAGACACAGAAGAAGTGGAGGCAATTCTAAACGGAGATGTGAACATACATTTGTGCCCTGATCACCACCGGCCAAGCCTGAGCAGAATTAGGCTTGCTATTAAATATGAGGTCAAAAAGGTAAGCTTTTCCTTTAGATGCTTGGCGAATTCATTGTACCACCTAAATGCTGCTGCTGCTTTGATGCCATTGGGAAATGATAAATGAAATATAGATTTAAAAGTGCCTAGGGTTATCCCTTAGATTTTAACATTTTATGGCATTTATCTGCATTTTTCCACATGCTTTATTGTGGAGAAGGACATTTGCAAAGTATGTATTACAGCAGGCATGGCATTGCTTTTAAAGTGATAGAAGTAGATGTACAGATGGCACAAGGGGTTGTCCGTGTGGCACAATGCTCTTGTGCAGGCCACAGTTGTGAATCTGTGAAGGGTTCAGTGGGAACCAAAAGTTATTACCATGACAAGCTTCCCTCCTTCAGGCTGATTCACAGGAAGATGAGGGGTGAGCAGAGTAGAAGGTATGGCAGCTTTGACCACAAATTATAAAAGCAGGATAAAGCAGCTGCTCACCTGCCACATACAATGTGTCTTTCCTCCAAACTAGACCTTCACCATGGTTTGAGGAAATAGTTGAACTTTGCAGTCTAACTGAAGTCAGCAGACCAAATTTCCAGTCTTGCCTCACCCTGCCTTCAACTGCTCCTTGACAACCTATCTCTGATGCATATCTCATAGTGTTTACACTCCAAAGCCACTTGCAACCATTAAGTCTTATCTTTTGTGTAGTGTTAAAGAACTAAACGTATGCAAAAGTAGCAATTTTGTTGTAGGCAAGAGCCTTTACTGCAGTCTAATGGAAGACAGAATTCAAAATTTAAAGAAGACATTGGGGGACTTTCATTCAGAATTCTACCAAAATCTCAAAAATCAATCTTTGGTGAACATTTTGAGGTCTTTTTTTTTCATGGAAATATGTGAAAATAGATAACTATTGGTTTAAAAAAAAGAAAAAAAAATCCTCAGCTCCCACTCTTACAACCAGACCCATATTCTAGGAGCTCAGGTTTCCAACAAATCTGAGATTGATTTTTAATGTTACTGATTCACCAGTTACCTAGGGGTATTTCATATGAAAGATACTCAAAACTCTTCTACTATTAAAAGAAAGACATATATTTCAAGGGAAAATATAAAGACTGTTTGACTTATAGAAGCTTAAAAAAAATCAGCTTTATGGAAGTACGTTCTGTGAATGGAAAATTTAATTCTGGCAAATCCTGGGTCTGGGTGGTCCCGAATAATTGCTCCTACAATATGCATTGATGGAAACTGGGCTCCTGCAACTGGGCTGGGAGAGCTTTCCAAATTTTCCAGCTAACATCTGTTCTCGCTTTCCCCTCGCAAACCCGCCACCTGCTCCAATCTGCTTCTCAATAGTGTTGCTGCGCTGGCCAGAGAAGGTCTCTTCCTGTCATGAAAGCCATTAATTAAAGAGAATCTTAAAACTCTTATTGGAAATGAATTGCTTTCATGCAGGAACACATGGTACGGAGCCAGATATTTCCTCCTTAAACATTGTGTATCTGCTCTGTCTCATCACCAGCACTGAGCGTAATGTCTCAGGCCACCCTCACTTAGATGGCTTTCAGCAAGCTGGGTCAGATGCAGCTATTGAGAGAGTTGCTCTGGAAACAGAGCACCAAACGTGCCCTGGTGCTCTTTCAGAAAACAACCTCAGTGAAGGTACTCAGAGCTCATCACTGATGAGGAGCCCCCATTGACCTACAGCCTAAGAGCAGTGCATTTGAGGTAGGAATCTCAAGTCCTCTGAATGTGTGAAGTCTGCGTTTTTTTCCTCCTCTATTCTTCTGAACGCTGGCCTCGCTCTTTAGATACTGAGACTTTTGAAACTGCCCAGCCAGAGCTGAGCCACTGTCAGTTATCGTGCTGTTTTGAGCACACTTGTTGTAGTTTAGCTAGTTTGTTTTAAGAGGAACATTTCCTCCATTTTTCATTTGTTATATTAACACATTATTTCATAATGCGTGACCGCTGGTCTGAAGCCATACAGTATCTGTGGGAGGTCATATGCAGTTGGTCTGTTCATCTATAAACAACTTCCTATGCCCTGGAAAGCTGAGCACCCTGTCTGGATCTCAGTAACTTGTTGCTCACAGATACTAATTACTAAACTAATTACAGAACATGAATATGAGCATTAGTCAATCTCATGTTGACTCTCAGGTTAGCGCTTTTCAGCATATTCTTTTCAGCAGGCAGTGTACATCTAAGAGCATTTAATTGCTAACTCAAAAGGAAGATAGTTCCATTTGTGGGAGGCAGAGACACATTCAGATAAATGGCTTGGGTTATTGGCAGTGACTTATGATAATAGACTGATGTTTATCAGGCATACTTGCTGAACAAAGAGATGGTGTTATGGTAACACAGCAATGATTTCCTTAAGTGGCAATAGATTTGATGCACAGGTTTTATATCTGTTTGAGAGACAGCTAGGCTTAAGTGTGCAAAATTTGTGCTCTGAATTGTATTTTCATTTTAAGAAAATCCTTTATTAGGGAGGGGGGAAGGTGCAGAGGGAATTACAATAAATATTTAATAAATTCATTTTGGGGCTGATTCTATAAATTCCAATCACTTTTTCAAAGTAAATGAAACGATTCATAGGCATAGCAAGATCACATGTGGCCCTCCAGGTGTGAAAGGCAGACTGAGAAAAGCATATTATGTGACTTCTCCACTTGCAGCTCTCAAACCACGCAGCCCCTGACCACCCCAGCCAAGCCAAGGCACCACCCGTGGGTGGCTGCGTCTTACCCAGAAGCAATCCCAGAGATATGTAGGCCAGACGTGCTGGTCCCTTCTGGCTTTTTAACTGCACTCCGCATTGGAATGACACGGGAATAACAATGTTTACATTTTTGCCCTGGACGTTAGGTTAGATACAACAGGGCTGCAATTCTATGCTAAGAAATAAAGATGTTCTCACTTAAGTGAGTATAGAAAGGGCAGGGTGGGAAATACTTTATATTCAATCCTTCCCACGAGCAGCAAGAAGAAGCTTAGAAACCAAAAGGCCCTTAGAGATTTCACAATGGGCTGAGAAAATAAAATGAAAGGAGTGGTAGATTCTAGAGTGGTTTTTTTTTCATTAAGTTAGTCTCTAGACTAAATATTTGCATTTACTTACAAAATTTTAATAAATACTTGCTATTTTATCTATTTCTACCATTATGCTTCTTAATTTACGTTTTCTTATTAGCACTCCAAGGGCCTGGGGTAGGCTATATTTGATGAAAATTTCCAGAGCACCATTTATATTGAAAATTATTATTTACTATCTATGAACTTACTTTTCCAGCTACTGTTCCAGCCCATATTTTATCACATCATTATTTCTGGAGTATGGGAAAGACATCAAGGCCTCCCATCCTCAGACAGGATAGCAGTTGCATCTATCAAACTTCATCAGGCCTTTGCACAAATTTTTAAAATTCTCTTTGATTTTTTTTTTTAAACTCGTCTATCTCCACTAGTGCAGAGAACAACAGCCACAGTGTCCTTTTTCTTTAGTCGTAGCAGCTGTTCTCCCAGCTTCTCCTATCCCCTGCCCAGCTCGCAGCCCACAAGGACAAGTTCTCCCCCTCAAAGGCCACATGGCCACAGAGGTAGGTAGGAAGCAGAGATGGCACCGTTTCGAAACGGAGCCCCGTCGCTTTGCATTTTATGGATCTCAATCAGCTCTATCATCTTTTATCTTTTTTCCTACATAGCCACGTGACAATTTTAGGACCACAGTGTTATACACACAGTTCATGTTGTTAGAGCTAATTTTGATTTCAGCTCAAGATCGTCTTAATTTTGCGTTCACCACTTATGCTTCCCGATAAGTCACAGGAGGAAGGAGAAAGTCTCCCCAGCTTCTCCCCTGCGTGCACAGCTGTGCCATTCACATCATGTCTGCGTTACGGGGAACTGCGCCACCAATCTCATGGTTGCTCTTAACCCTCAGCCCAGTGCTTCTCGTGCCTCTAGTTTTGAAGGGGCAATGCCCCGCCTGCAATCCTACTCATGTCCAGGGGACGATGCAGCCCTGAGTGGGAGGCCAGAGCCTTCTTTTGCCTCTGTCCCCTCTCATCTCCTCTACCCAGAAAATCTACAGCTGAGAACTTCAACAGACTTTGGTCCAGCCTGATCCTAAATGATCTTTCTCTGTAATTTTTTTTTTTTTTTTTACCTTCATGCTTCCCATTAGGATTCTCCATTACTTTGTCCCTCTGTTCTTCCAAAAAGCAATTCACAGTTCTACTGACAGGAGGTAATTTTATTGATCAATATCTTTTATTTCTATTAGGACCTTAGAACATTTGAGATGAACATTGGAAAGTCATTCAAGAATGCATCAGAGGTTCGAAACTTCACGTCCTTGTCTGTCCCTTTTTAAAATTCTTTTTCTTTTCTTTGTATAAAACAAGCTACTAGCACATATAAGACACTGGCGAGAGAGCAACTTCATCTTTCTACAACATAATTGAAGCATTTTATATAGAAAGTCACTGAAGAATTGAAAAACACTACTTGTACATATTTCACTGCCAGGAGAAAGCTAAAACCGCTGTGTTTTACAAAATGGTCTTTAAAAATCTCCATATTTCTCCAGCTCTCTACTCTTCATAAAAGAGCTAAATAATCACTCTATACCCCAGGATTCTTGTAAAACTGCACTTAGAAGTCCTCAAATTCAAGTTTTCCAGAATTCAAATTAGCTTCAAATGAGCTGTCTTAATGACTCATGGTTCCTCAAAAATAATCCCAAATGTTACAATGGGACCATTTTGTCAAGAGTGAAATAAACAATTTGCAAACATTTGGGCATTTAATAAGTCCTGGATACTTTCCAAGAAGCAGACTGCGTTATGTGACTGTAGCAAATTCACTGTCGTCTCGCCTGGCACTACTTAGCTATGCTTCACACTTGCGTGTGCTGGTCAGTGAAGGGTTTCTCTCCTCTCCAGCTGTGCAGACCCCCCATCAAAGGCAGCGAGCGTCTGTATTCTGCAAAAAGGTAGGGTGTGGGGAAGAGCAGCAAAGCGC